AAGTCCCTGGTGCTCTTGGCATTTAAATTATGATGTGTCTTGGTGTGGTCCTCTTTGGATTTCTTTTGTTTGGTGTTCTCTGCGCTTCCTAAACTTGTAAGTCTATTTTTTTTACCATGTAGGGGAAGTTTTCTGTCATTATTTCTCCAAATAGGTTTAATTCGGATGTTGGTACACTTGAAGTTGTCCCAGAGGCTTCTTACACTATCTTCATATTTTTGTATTCTTTTTTCTTCTTGTTTTTCCGGTTGAGTGTTTTTTGCTTCTTCATATTTCAAATCTTTGACTTGATTCTTATGATCCTCTAGTCTGCTGTTGGGAGTCTGTATAATATTCTTTATTTCAGTCAGTGTATGCTTGATTTCTAGTTGGTCCTTTTTCATAACCTTGAGGGTCTCACTAGATTTTTTGAGGGTCTCACTAAGTTTATCGGTGGCTTCTAGAAAATTCTTGAAAAACCTTAAAAGTGTGGTTTTGAACTCTATATCCAGTAGTTTGCTTTCCTCCATTTCTGTTATTTGGGAGCTGTTTCTTTGTCTTCACATTTTTTGATGCTTCCCTGTGTTGATAGAGTGGCTTTCTGTGCTAGGTGTCCTCTAGGGCCCAGTGGTTCAGCCTCCCCGATTACCTGGGGTGGACACTCTTGGTGCACCCCCTTGTGGGCTTTGTGCACAGTCTTGTTGTAGTTAAGCCTTGATTGTTGTAGGTATCACTGGAGGAATTGACCTGCAGGCCAATTGGCTGTGAGAATCAGCTGTGTCTATGGTGGGAGAACTTCTGTGCTGGAGACACCCTTATGGGACAAGACTTGCTTCAGTGGGACTTTGGTGCTCACTGAGTCTGCCCCCTGAGTGTGTCCCTTATGGATCTGAGGAGTTGTGTTCTGGATGGTCCCACTCTGACCACTGGGTACACTGGCTCTTGGATCTAAGGAGGTGCTAATTTAGCCTCTGCCTGAGGCTACCCAGCAGAAGCCAGCAGTAAAGCAATGCAAGTTGCCCTGGGGCCTTGGGCCAGCTGCAGTTTGTTAAGTAATTTTCAGATTACATACAAAGGGCCAGGCCTTTCATATGCAAAAGCCTCCTGCAGGGCTTGGGCGGGGCAGGGCCCCAGGGGATCAACTGGGAGGGTGGAGCGAGCAGTATGTCTGCTCTCAGTCCTGCCCTCTGAGGCCCCGCAGGCAGGCAGGCAATCGCTGTGAGCGCCTCTGAGAGAAAGCTGCCCTCGAGTTCCGACAGTCCCAGTTCTCCCGTATGAGTCTGGGTCCCCAGAGACTCGCCCGGAACTGGAGCTCAGAGCCTGAGACTCCCTCCCAATTGAAAAAGACAACTGCGCCATCAGCTGCCAGCCCTCTCTGCATGCACCTCCACACCTTAGTATTTTACTTCTGCACTGCACCTCCTCTGAGTCTCCCTTTCTGTGGTTCTGGATGATGTCTGTTTTGTCTTTTAGTTGTATTTTTGAAGTGGTTGTGGGAGGCAGCAATTTCCAGTGTTTACCTACGCCACCATCTTGGTTTCGTCTTGGCTCCTTTTTCATAAATTAGTTTGACCGTTAGTGTGTTTTTATGCCAGTACTATACTGTTTGATTACAATAGCTTTGTAATAGAGTCTGATGTTTTCCTTTCTCAGATTGTTTTGGCTATTTGAGGTCTTTTGTGGTTCCATACAAATTTTAATATTGTTTGTTCTATTTCTGTGAAAAATGCCTTTGGAATTTTGAGAGAGATTACATTGAATCTGTAGATTGCTTTGGGTAATATGGACATTTTAACGATATTACTTCTTCCAGACCATGAGCACAGACTATCTTTCCATTGTGTCTTCTTTCATTTCTTTCATCAATGTCTTAATAGTTTTTAGTGTATACCAGACACATTTCAGAATGATGATGTTAACATAATAATGCTGTCTGTATATTTATAGTTTTCACATTGCATTCATCAGCATTTTATCTCAGATCTTTGCAAAATGAACCAAACATGAAATCTTTAGGCATTTTTAAGATACACCTTTTTCTAAGTTACATCAAGTGTCTTCTAACCTTCATTACTTCCTCCCACCCTCTTGTGATGGAGGCTAATGACAACTGTCCTTGTTACTGCAGTTGGTGGGGGTAATGAGATCCTTGTCAGGGCTTTTTTAAGTTGGGGATTAGTGAGTTATTCAGTTATGTGAAGTCCAGTCTATTATAAATATTTGGTTAATATTAAGTGATGATGATGGCAGAGCCATTAATTCTGTCTAGGTCTCCTGCCTCCCATGTCAGTGCTTGTTTCATTGAGTTCATAGTTCCTCAGTGTTTCAGATCATAGCCCTCTGTCATATCAAACTAATTACTTTGTCCAGGTTTACACTTTTGCCATGTGTTACAGCTGTGTTCAGAAGTTTTGTATTAACTGGGGAAGTCTCTGAACTCTGATTACCCAGTGGGCCAACAAAAGAATATTGGATTTTCCCAGATTAGACCTTTCTAGTATTTTCAGCTCTAGTTCTAGCCCCCAAATTCTTATTAGGTACAAAGCTATTTTCTTTAGAATGTCCCTGGTATTTGTTATTTATATAGCATATCTCATTCAGTCACATGCCTTTCATCCTGTAGCATCTTTTCTTTCTGGGAAACTTTTAGTAATGGCAGGAAAGCTCTAGGGTTCAGGCGATCTTTGCAATACCTAGGTTATAATGTAGATTGCTATTTTTGTTTTTGTGCTGTCAAGGAAGTGTATGATGATATTTGAGGGCTGAGAGTGCTCTTGGAAGCTCAGTTATTTCAGTGTTTCATGAAAATGTATGCAATTTGAATTGAGGGTTACTGACTAACATTAATCTGTTAGGTTAGTGGTTGGCAAACTCATTAGTCAACAGAGCCAAATATCAACAGTACAACAATTAAAATTTCTTTTGAGAGCCAAATTTTTTAAACTTAAACGATATAGGTAGGTACATTGTTATTAACTTAATTAGGGTACTCCTAAGGCTTAGGAAGAGCCACACTCAAGGGGCCAAAGAGCCACATGTGACTCGCGAGCCGCAGTTTGCCGACCACGGTGTTAGGTGAATGGTTGATGGGTAACTAGAAATTTTAGTGGAACCAAATAACACCACACAGAGAAATTCCTAGATGCATCATGGGTAAAAACATGGTGGGTGGGTCAGTCTTCACTACCCAAACTCATTGGTTAATGTTAGCAGTTCTTATGTTGGCTTAGCCTTTTATCATCTGTCATTTGATGTGCTGTTATATAAAGTTCAGAGCACCATTTTAGCCAAAAAAACCACAACACTTTAGCATGACTCCAGTTAGATTTTTAAAATTTGATATTCCTAGAAACTACTATTAATCTACAAGCAAGCACTGTAGGGAAGAAGTCAGATAGAAGATGAGTCCTTCTGCACTCAGTAAATCAATATCATAAAAATAGAGATGTGCTATATTCAAAGAGACTTAAGAGACAAACAATTCAATACAGTGCATGGTCTTGAATAGGATACTGACTTGGGTAAGTCAGCTGTAAAGGAATTTTGGGGGTTAGGGAAATTTGGAAATAATCTAGATGTCATATGAAATAAAATTTACTGAAATGGAGAGGTTGGAACTCACCAGATTTCCTTTTCAAAATATTGATGAGAAAAATCTGGTTACCAAAAAATAGTATATAGATAGAAAAACATATAGACAGAAAAAAATCTGGAAGTGCATGCAATGAAGTGTTAGTAGTGGTACTTTCAGGGGATGGGATGATGGGGTGTCATATATTATTTTTTGCTTGTTTTCCCCTCCTAAGTTTTTTCATGTCCTGTTTCTGTGTTAAAACAAACTTATTTTTTAAAAATACATATTTAACCATCCTGTACTGATGGTTTGTTTTAGCATATTTCACAAGTTTTTTTCTTGATAAGATTTTATAATTTTTAGGATACTTTTTTGAACTGGTCTTTAGATTCTATATGCATCTCTCTTTTCTTTATTTTTTTATTATGAAAATATTAAACACATACAAAAGTAGATAGAATAACATAATGAATTTTTATGTTCCCATCATCTGGCTTCAGCAATCATCAGTTATGCCCAGTTTATTTAATCTGTACCCACCATTCCTTTTCACCCATCTTTTGAAGCAAATCCCACATCATATCTTTTCATTCATAAATAGTTCACTATTTATTTATGAAAGATAAAACCATAACACACAATACTAAACAATATATAAATGAGATAATATCCTTATTATAGTAAAATATTCAGTCATTGCTCACTTTTCTTCACTTGTCTCATAAGTGATTTTCTCTAATTATATTGTTTGAGTCAGAGTACAAATAAGTTTCCGACATCACAACTGGTTATGTTCCTTCTCCTCCACCATTTTTTCCCTTTCAGTTTATTTACTGAAAAAACTAGGCCCTTTATTTTTAATATTTTCTCACATTCTGCATGCTCTCTCAATCTTTGAATGCCTAAGATAGGAAACTGTTCTGTAGAATGCATCTGAGCAGGGTTCCCATATAAAATTTACAATATAACATATTTATGGAATGTTTGTAAAATCTGTAAATTGAAAGGGTCCATTTCTATCCTGAAGTACTTTGAGTCTAACACTCTTACAGCCTTGATTATTTCAGTAAGAGGAAACAGCCATTGAAATGCAATACACGGGGGTGGACTTGAGAGATATGTGTCACACAAATTTTAAGGTAGGAACTCGCCAGATTTTCTTTTCAAAGCTAAGTGAAAATTTACCCTGAAAGTATACTCTGGTGTAATGGGGTTATCTTGAAATATTACTATCCTTAGAGAGCTCAGTCAGTAAGCGTGCTCTCTAATGTGATACCTTGTACTTTTGCTGAGGCTACTGAAGTCAAGATTTACATTGACTATGTATTGATTTTCTCCAATGATTGCAGGTTGAAGATGGCAGTGATGCAGAGACCTATGGAGAAGAGAATGATGAACAGGGAAATTATTCTAAGAGAAAGATAGTCTCTAACTGGGATCGATATCAAGATACTGAAAAAGAAGTCGATAATGAAAGTGGAGAATCGCAGAGGGGGACAGACTTCAGTGTTCTCCTCAGCTCTGCAGGTATGAATTCCAATCACTCACACACTGGTTGTGCTATGAATGTGGCAGAGACATTGATGTTCCTTTTTAAATTGCACCTTAGGAATTGGCAATTCATCGTTTGTCTCTTGGATTTTTAAATCCAGGTGAAGGACAGTGTGTCTAATGGCTTGCAAGGAAAGAATGGTGTTTCTCTAAGTGTAATATATGCTGATATAAACGTGCTGATATAAATGACTTAAGTTGCCGTTGAAGTGCCGTGAATCTATAATAGTCTTCATAGAAATGAAAAACGCTGAACCATGCTCCTCTCAAGTGGGCAGTCTGAGAAACAGCAGGGTTTTCTTTGATTTCAGAGGAATTGGTACTTATGCTTATAAAAAGCTTTATAGAGTTTCTAGAATATATGATATTTCCCCCCTTATTTTATAGCCAGAAATATGCGTATTAGTGGATATGCACATATTGGAGACATATACACCTGAATACCAAAACTTTTCTTTTTTGCTTTGGACAGTCTTCTCTTTCAATAGGGTAAAAATCTCATTCCTCCTATGGCCAGCTATGTTTTTAAGGTTGACTCTCATCGATGTGAAACTGGAGGGTAGTTATAGGAGAAAATGGGGCAGGGCTGGTTTTATAGATGGCTACTCCGTGTGGGATGGGACATAAGAAATTGAAGGATGAATGGAGGACAGACTAGTGGTTTTCAGGGGTTAGGGATGGGAGGGTGGGAGGTGGATGTGGTTATAAAAGGGCAGTATGATGGAGCCTTGTGGTGCTCCATCTGTGCAAGTGATAAAATGGTATACAACTTACACACACACACACACACACACACACACACACACACACACACTCACGCCCAAGTGAGGGCAAATGAACCAGGGTAAGTCTGAATAAGATTGGTGGATTCTGCCAGTGTCATGTCCATATCCTGGATGTGATAGTATACTGTAGTTTTACAAAATATTATCATTGGAGGAAACTGGGCCAAGTGTATGAGATTTCTCTGTATTATTTCTTGTAACTGTACTAGAGGCCTGATGCATGAAATTCGTGTAAGAGTAGGCCTTCCTTCCCCTGGCTGCCGGCACTGGCTTCCCTCTGGCACCTGGGACCCAGGCTTCCCTTGCAACCCCAGCTTCGTCTGGAAGGTCGTCTGGTCTAATTAGCATATTATGCTTTTATTATTATAGATGTGAATCTATAATTACCTCAATAAAAATATCGCCAGGTTAAAAAAAATTTAAAGGATTAAGATGTGGGAAGCAGTGAAATAATATGAAAATCATATTTTCAGTTTGTTTTGAATTCCCTACCCCCCAACCTTTATGTTGCTTTAGAGTTCTGCCTTTTTTTCCAGTCTGCCTGTATTTTTTGAGTGCCTGTACCAGACTAAGAGTTATAAAGTTCTCTCTCAGCATATTAGTTGGAAAGAAAGAGATAAGTGGAGTGAGTGTTAGTGTGAGTCAGAAGAGCGGGCTCAGTCTGGTGTCATTATTTGTATGGGGCACACAGTGTAACCACCTTAGGTAGAGGTTTGCTGATGGCATCCAACTCATTGACTGTTCAGGGCCTGGTGACTCATCTTTTTGCCACTCAGATGAGTATTTTTCTCTTGTTAACTGCATTTTGGCCAATTATGGGTCTAAAAGCACTTTTATTCAAGGTTGGAGAAATGTGAAATGTGTGCTGGTTAGCTTCAATTTTTATCAGTTGTTCTACTTAAAGATTTTCGGGAAAATTGAGGTAGTGCAATCAAATTATCATGTGGACTACCTGTGGATTTAATGGAATCAATTGTACAGTCAGTTTCCACGACAGTATCTGGCACTAAAAGATACTGCAGATTGTTCTCTTGGGCAGCACATGCACCAAAATTGGAACAATACAGAGATTAGCATGGCCTCTGGGCAAGGATGACATGAAAATTCGTGAAGCGTTCCATAGTTTTGAATGTCAACTGTAATTGAAAAAAAAATACTGCATAAATGCTTGAAGGCAATTCAGAATTCTAGTCTAATGCAGCAGTTATGCACATTGGCTTATGGTTTTGGTTATTTATTTTAGCATTTATTTATAACTTAAACCTGGCATGGTTTGAGTGTCCTGTGTGTGTGTGTGTGTGTGTGTGTGTGTGTGTGTGTGTGTGTATATATATTTGTAGTCTCTTTGCTTACTGATTTCTTAAGTGGCTTGCTTATCTATGATTGGTTTTTGGGAGATCGCAACTGTCACATCTTTTGATATGTGCTTACATTTCTTCCTTTCTCTGCTACTGGTTTATTATTTTCTTGTAACATACCATAAGCCTGGGAAGAGCTGTCCTGCTGTCTTCATATATGTTGGAGTGGGCTGTATTGGTTTACTTTTGAGAGGTGGAGTTCATTCTGTGGTCATAAAATATTAAGAATATCTTCAAGATAGGCTGACCATCCTCCTTGGAATGATTCCGCCCTTGTTTGTATAAATCAACACAACAACCCAGGAAAACATCTCACTGGTTTGTTGGATGTGCACATCATAAACTTTCTAGATAGCGCCAAATTGCTCTCCAATGTGGAGATGAGCTACAATTCCTAGTGTTCACTGTCTTTGCCAATATGTAGCACTGTTAGAAGTTTTCACTGTGGCCAGCTGGTTGAATGGTATCTAGTTGTGGTCTGTTTAATAATTATTTGAGCCCCCACTCTTTCAAGATACTGTTTTAAAAGCCAAGTATACAGCAGTGCACAGAGCAGACAAAAACACCTGCCACACTGAGTTAACATTCTAGGGGTTGGAAGACCCAGTAAGGAAAATAAAAGTGTATAAGATCATAAATGGTGATAATTGTTCAGGATGAAAATAAAGTGGGGAGGGGCTGTTACAGTTTTAGAAAGGGTGAACAGAGAATATCTTTCTGAGAAGGTGACATTTTGAATAAAGACTTGAGGAAGGCATTGAGGATCTGTGGGAAGTGTTTCAGGCAAGTTCAAAGGCTTTGAGTCCCTGAGATGAGCAGCCACTGGAGGGTTTTGAAGAGAAGAGTGGTATAGCTAATTCATATTTTAACAGGATCACTCTGGCTGCTGTGTTGGAGTTACTTGAAGACCAGTGAGGGAGGGAGCAGGTAGCAGGTAGACCAGTTGGGCTATTACAACAATCCAGACAAGCATTGATGTTGGCTGTGGCCAGGGTGATAGCAGTAGAGGTGGTGAAACATGGTTGCTGGATCTATTTAGAGGGAATTGCATATAGGTCTTGCGACTGTGGAGAATAAAATAAAACTATGCACAGGTATGACACCAAGTTTTTGGCCTAAACAGCAGGGGGTTGCCATTATTTGGTATGGATAAAACTGTTGGAAGTGCTCAGTTTTGCATAATTCATATTAAGTGAATTATATTAAGAGAATGATGTTATAAATATCCAAATGACCCTTGGCAGAAAAAAGTTCTCCACCTCTGATTTACAAAGATGTGAGTAGGATGTAGTGAAAGCACAGAGATAGTACAGCATGGAGAAGGCAGGTAACAGCAGAGGTGTTACCACCCCTCGCTCCCGGAACTCGGAAGGAGAGCAGTTTACGTGAGAGGATAAATCACCTTTGGTCAAGAGATCTAGCCAGTGAAGGTGACTCCACAGGGAGAAAGACAGGGGAATAAATACTCTGGTTTTTAACTCTGTCTCCTCCTGTCTCTTGCCAGGGCTTCCCATAAGCTTAGCCTGCTGGAGGCCAGAAGGCAAGGGAGGCCTGTTACTGTCATCCATATAGATCAACTCCTAAGGTCAGAACAGGAAGGAGAAGGTTAGGTGGTGAACCTGGAGTAGCAAATAGAAGAGACCCAGCACAGCATATAATTTCTTTACTAAGTACAAAAGTAACCAATAAAATTGGAAGTAACTTATCAACATTGAACATTTTGATTTTTAATATTGGACATTCAAGTTCAGCTATGATGTTATGGTCTTTCCTTAGTCAGTATAGTTTAATGTAAGGATCACAGGCCTCTAGGTTGAACAAGTCTGGATTTGAATGCTATTCTATCATGTTTCTGTCTAACTTTAGGCAATGCTATTTCTCTCACTAGGAAATGCAAGAATAGAAAGAAATAAGTGCTTGATTTGATAATGTCAGCATGTTATCTGAAATTCACCATTAATTTTAGTTCTCCTTTGAATGTAACTATGGTGCCTAGATTTAGTATTTATTTAAATTTTTTGTTGATAGCTTAATTAACTATTCAGTAATGTCAAATAAAGTAATTTTCCCCTTTGAATGTTAGACATATAGCAATGGTTGCCAGTAGAATTTACATATCCTCATTTTTCTGAGAAATTAAAAGTTCTTCTTGGGTATAATAGAACTGATTATTGAGTGTATTTATCGACTAACCAGTGTTGGTGGTCTGAGTCTCTGAGCATTTAAAAGTTGGTGGTCTTAGGTTAATTCATAAAAAGTCTTTTCCTCTTTCTCCCATTTTGCCACCTATAGTTGTTCCTCTGTTTTTCTCCTCATTCTCAGTGTCTGCCATGTGGCAAATGTGTAATTCAGACTTGGTTTCTCAGACAAGGGCTCTGCGCTTTGAGCTGTTCTTTATATTTTATTTTTTATTCTATAATTAGCTGTGTTGGGCACACGCCTCTGTGCAATTCTCAAATGTTGTTTTAGAAGGCAGACCTTTTGCTGAGAGTACATCTAGTTTAACGTGTTGTTTTCTTCCAGTAGGATTTCCATTGTAACAATGAATTTTTGTAGACCATTCATAAATTTAAAAAGTAAATTTCTGTTGTACACACTGTTAGTGTATATGTATATTGGTATATTCACTTTGGAAAATAGTTTGCCATTTTTCAGTAAAGTTGAAGATCCAGCCTTTCCACCCTTTGAGAAATTCTAGACATTTGCACCAGTGTTCACAGCAGTGTTTCAGAAGAGCCACAGATGGAAGCAACTCAAATGCCCATGAACAGTGGAGTAAACACATAGATGAGCGGATGAACCTAAAGTGAAGTAGAAGAAACCCACATCCCCC